AAAATATATTATTATATTATATCAAATATATTATATCAAAAAAATAGATCATATATCAATAACGCGATGGATATTTATATTCTTATAGTCTTTTTCAAGAAAGATACATAGTTTTTTTATTTTCAGAATTAATATTATATTATAAATATAAAATATACAATTTTCTATACAATGAAAATAATGAATAATAAAACTAAAGATCTAAAAATTGATATCGAAGATTTATAAATATTATTGTTTAATAAAGTCGAGGGAATTAAAAAAATTAAAACATAAGATTGTGATATTGATTAAACTTGCAAAATATAAATTAAATTATTTGAGCGTTAAATTTGAATATAAAATGAGCATTATTGTTTGCATAATTCTTAATTAAAATATAAATATAAGTTTGAAATTTAATATTATGTAAAATTAATATTGTGTAATAAATACTAAATTTTTTATATTATTAAATTTTTTAACACAAAATATTTTATGAAATATACTTTAATGTAACTAAATCAAGTACAAATATGTATCGGCATAATTTATAATACTGTAAAGACTTATAAATAATTTTAAATGTAATATTTTTTTATATTAAAAATTAAAATATATTACAGTTTTGAAATGATGAAAGTGTTTTTAATTGATATCCAATATCTCTTTTATAATCATTCACTAAGAAGAGTAAGAGAAGTAAGAAATAGTGAGAGATAGATTAAAAATTAAGAATTTAGCGTCATTTTCAGAGTGCCGCAAATAAAGAAAAGATAGAAAAATATGGAAAAAATAGAGATAATTATTAAATTTATTTATTATATTTAAATCTAATACTTTGATAAATTAAAAAAAAAATCTCACACATTGATATTATTTTCATTATATTATAAAAATATAAGTAAATTTTTTAATAATTCATAAATAATTCAACTATATGAATCTAAATTATATCCTTATTATTAAAAATTAAATAATTACATTTTTTTATTTATAAATAATCATTTTTAATATGGATATATATAAAGTAATCATATAATTAAAATATTTAATTTTATAAAAATATTATAAAAAATATATATGAAGAAATATATATAAAAATTATATAAAATTTTAACAAAAAAAATATTAAGTTTCATTCGTACAATTCATATAATTTTAACATTTTTGAATATATAAATTAATAAGTTTTTGAACTTCATTTTTATAAAATAGGTATGTTATTATATGAAATAAAAATATAAATATTTTATAGAAAATTTATTAATATTTCAATATAAATTTTTGAATATTACACTGATTTTTTTTTATTTTTTTTTTGTGTAGTCCTTTTTATCTTCCTTTCTAAATTCTTTTTATTTCTATTCTCTACTTTTTTCTGCTTACTATCATTAGTCTGTATATCTTTTATTTCTTTTTGTTGCAATTCTATTGCTTTTTCTAATGGATCACCTTTAAATATCTCATCCATAGGATTCAATGAATAAGATTCTTTTGGTTTATTAACTTTTTGTATTATTTTTTGATCCATTTTATTCATATATTTACTAGTATTATTTTTGTTTAAAGAGTGTCGAAACTATAATTTAAAAAGTTTATTGAATTTAGAATTTTTAATTTTATGATGTTAAAATTATTATAATTATAATATTTATACCTTAGCAGGAGAAACATAAGTTGGATTATTCCAAAGTACTTCTCCACCAAAACTATCAGTAAATATTTTTATTGGATTTAATACAAAGCGAGGACCTATTTCAGCTAAACCACCATCTTCTGTTAAAATTTGGAAATTTCTAAACCATATTCTATTATCTAATATAGTAAATGTATATATATGATCGAAAAATGGTTGTGTTTTAGGATGATGATTAGGAACATCAAAAATTTGAATAAGCAATTCTTTTAAAAGAGTATAATGTAATTTTGTGTTAAAATTTTCATCAAATGATAATAATGGTCTAGAACCTTTTAAACAATTTCCAGTCATTTTTAATTCTGCCATAGTATAAACTGTAACATAAGTTTTTTTTATAAACTATAATATCTGTAACTATAAATAACTGTAATATATAAAATCATTACTTTTTTTATATTATTAAAATTACTTCTAATAAAACTTTAATTTATGAAGTTTAATCTATAAATTAAATAAAATGATTAATACTTACTATTTTCAACAAGAAATTTTACACTTGGTCCTATAGGAATGTTAGAAAACCATAAATATAAATCTCTTTTTTTTCTACCTTCAAATAATATTGTTTTATTGCAATTTTTCATTTCACACATTTCATTAACTATTTGTAAGTTTTTAGTTCGTTCCATTTTAGATTCAGAACGATGATGAGGCATAAGAGTTTTTAAATCACTCATAAGATGACGATGTCTATAACTAATACCTCTAGTAGCAAATACTAGAACTCTCTGCCTATTAATCCATTTTACCTTCATTATAAAATGAAAATTTGTAATTGATAATAAAAAAAAAATTATCAATTTTAATATATCTATATTTTTATTTATATAATAAATTTAAAAGACTAATTCTTATTTTAGTTTTTTTTCTTTTTTTTAAAAACTTACTTCATATACTATTTTTTATTAAATTTATTATCTAAATTTATTACATTATAAAAATTTCAAACCTTTTTTGATAATGGTTCATCTGACATTCTTTTTAGTGGTAAAACTTCCATATCTGGTATATTCTCTTTATTAATATCTTCGATTCTTTTACGTTTTAACTGTTTTTTTGTCATTATTAATTTTAAAGAAATTGCATAAAAAGATATCTAAACTTTTCTAAGATAAGGTTAATAGAAAGAAAATGTGACACATGTTTTTTCACTATGGAAAAATAATCCTATGTATCATATAAATAAAACCATACGTAATCAAAATCTAGGGGAAATAGAGTTGTATTTAAAATTATTATAGTAAAAAAGAAGATTAAATCAATTCAAATAGATTTTGAAATAAAAATTCATATTAAACTATGTAACATAAATTATATTCTATTTTTATGAAAATAAATAATCAATATATCAATTAATATTGGAATAATTTTTATATATTATATATGTATTTTATTATATGATATTATATATTATATATTATATATTATATCAATAAATTTCAAAATAATTCTAATAAATAA